AAGGGGTGGCCCTTGCTCAAATCCACTGCAGGATGGGGACTCTGCATTACACTTTAGAGAATGTACAGGCCAGGGACTGGTGAGATGGCTCAGTGAGGGAAGATGCTTACCATTAAGATGCAGGATCCGTATGGTGAGAGAAGAGAGTCAACTCCTATAAATTGTCCTCTGACCTCCACGTTAGCACTGTGGCACACACACACACACACACACACACACACACACACACACACACACACACACACACTAGGTAAATAAATAATGTAATAAGAGAACGTACAGGCTAAACACAGCTGAGGACCTGTGTTTCCAACTTCTGAGCAGCATGGTGGGGTGACATTAGGGTATGAAAGTATTTGAGAGACTGAAAGCAATGCCACATCCCTGCCTACATCTGGTATCAGTAGCTTAGTACTAATAGGTACTTGGAAGTGAAACAGTGAACAATGAGATTGAAGGCTTGTCCTTAGTTTTCTGCATCAGGATCATAGCCCTCCTGTGCAGAGGCACATGTCTGAACCTGGACCTCAGCTTGCCCATCTGTAAAATGAGGGACTCCTAAGTCCCCAAGGCCCCCTTGTCTTGAATATTACCTAAATTTATTAGGCCCATCCTAGGCCCTCCCTAGACCTGGGAAGCTTCTACCATGCTTCTAAGGGATTCATTTGTCCTCCATATCCCCCAAATCCCACCCTGTTAAGAGGACCAGAAACAGGCCGAGTCCTTTCTGCATCCTAATACCCAAGTGTTGCTGCTGCCACAAGTACTGAGGCAGGGTTCCACTGAGGGCACTCTGTCCCGATGCCGGGTGACACTTGATAAAGCAAATCAGCTAATTTGCCAGCTGTCCCTCTCTGGATAAGAGAGGCAGGAGGGCCTGATGACAGCTTTATCGCTGCTGGCTTCTCTGGCAAGGCTAATGGGTGGAGTGGACAGCAGACAGATGCCCCATAGCAGATAGCTCCTCAGGTCTGTGGAGGGTGGGGACTTCATAGAGGTCACCTCTGCCGGGAGTGGCAAGTGACCCCACCCACTGAAGATTCCCCACTCCTGGGCTTGGTGCTAGGGTACAGGTTAAAGGCCTGTGAGTCTCCTCCACACGTGATTGGTGGGGATTACCAGGGAGCAAGCAGGGTGACCGAGGAGGGCAGGGAGAGAGGGAATGGGTTCTGTGTGTGAGGAAAGATTGAGGCCATTTCAGGAAGGTTTTCGATCTGTTTAGGAGGGAACAGGTTCAGACACTGTCCCTGAAGAGGGTGGCTGGTTTCCTGAGGCAGAGATGGCTGGCAGAGTGTCCTGGGTTTGGGTGGGAAGTTCATTCCTCCAGGGACTCAGCCAGGAAGAGCAGCCTCTGCTGTCGTGTGGGGGTGGCAGCTGTGAGGAGTGGGATCCCTCCACAGGGAAGGCAGGCGCTCCCTCCCCCTGGTGGTCTGCAGCTCCATCACCTGTGCAGTTGGGGCCAAGCTGGAGACACTCCATTGCCTTCCCTGGCCCACAGGTGAATGTCCTGGCCCTCAGCATCTGCACTCGGGAAGCTTATCAGTCCATGAAGGAGCGGAATGTGGACGACGGCCATATCATTAACATCAACAGGTGAGGCCAGGTGGCCAGGCTGCTGCAGCCCACTTATCCACTAGACGGCAGCTCTCTGTAGCGAGATAGGTATTTATATCCTGACAAAGGGAAGAGCCTGCTTCTGGTCATCTAGAGTGGACAGCTTAGCCCTGGCCCTCCTTAGCCAATGCCTGGAACTCTCCAGGGACTGAGTGCCATTGTGCCTCTTCCTCAGACCCAGGGATAAATCCTTGTGGTCCAAAGAGACCGCACAGGCTCTAGCATAGGCGAGCCCATTGTCTGCTGGGGGCATGGTCTAGACAACCTCAGAAGTCTCCCAGTAGACCCCCATCAGTGGGCACACAAACAACACCGTGAGGTTCCTGTCAGCCTGTCTGACTGCAGTCGGCAGAGGGACAGCTTCAAGGCAAAACAGGTTTCAGGAGCTGTGTAGACAGAAGACTGCAGGGATAGCCGTCAGAGGTGCCCCCACCCCTGCAAGGCTTCCCCGTCAGCCTCTGGGTAACGAGGCCGGCCAGCATGATAGGAGCACTGCCAGTGTCTGTGGAACTTTACTCTCTCATCTCTCCCCTTCCCTTCTTCCACCCAGCATGTGTGGCCACCGAGTCCCACCCCAGTCTGTCATCCATTTCTATAGTGCGACCAAGTATGCCGTCACTGCATTGACAGAGGGACTAAGGCAAGAGCTTCTGGAGGCCCAGACCCATATCCGGGCCACGGTGAGGCTGTGGTCTAGCCCTGGTGGGAATGGCGTGGGCCCAGCCCTCCCGCCTGCACAGGCCCAGGAAGGCCTGCTGAGAGCCCCAGGGTTCAACTGAGGGCTCCTGGGCGCTGCTCCTTACAAGGACAGTCACCTCACTTCACTCACTCCAGAGCCAGTGAGTGGGAGGGGACCGACCTGAAGGGAACATGGAGTGAGACAAAAGGAAATCACACACAATGACTGGAGACCAGCACTCTGGCTCTTTGCTGGAAGACCATGTGACTTGGGGTAAATCACTGAGCATCCCTAGACCTCAGTCTTCACATCTGGGAAATGGCATGATGCTTACCTGGTGTGCAGCTTTAAGCAGCACTGCCTTGTGAAGCATTAACCAAACATGTAGGAACGGCTCCATATGCAGTACAAGCGTTGTGAGGGGTGCTAGTTGCAGCTGTCAGTGGTGACTTTGGAAGGAGGACAGTTGAGGACATGAGGCAGATGTCATTGTGAATAGAGAGCCCTGTGACTTCTATCCTTTCTCCTCAACCTCCTCAAGGCCTGGTAAAGCTCAGGCTGAGCAGGCCCTCTCTGTTGGCCCAGTGTATCTCTCCAGGCTTGGTGGAGACACGGTTTGCCTTCAAACTCCATGACAAGGACCCCGAGAAAGCCGCAGCCACCTATGAGGACATAAGGGTGAGGCCTTCTCCTGGACCTGTAAAGCCACTCAGTCCTTAAGTCCCCAGACTGTCCCTCTGCCTGGCTTGTCACTCCTGGAGGGCTGGGGTGGGAATGTAGATGTTACAGAGTCCCTCTGAGGGGAAGGAACATGGGTCACTCCTGCCCTCGTCTCAACCCTTTGCTCTGGTGCTCTCAGTGTCTCAAACCCGAGGATGTGGCTGAGGCTGTCATCTATGTGCTCAGCACACCCCCACATGTTCAGGTGAGTCTGGGCTTAGATGTTCACCGGCTGGGAGAAACATAGGGGTGCCCACAAGTGGGCAGCTGGGAGTCGTTAAGTGGGTGGCCGCCTCAAACCTTCTGCCTTCCACAGGTTGGAGACATCCAGATGAGGCCCACAGAGCAGGTGACCTAGTGTTCTGTGGGGAGCTCCTACCTTCCCCACCCTTCATGGCTGGCCTCCTGCCTCGGGATTTTAGGTGTTGATTTTTGGACCCTGGATCTATTACTTTCCTTATCCACTCCACTAGGAATAGAAAATTTGTCAAATTATTTCCATTATACATATGAAAAAAATGGGCTGGGGAGAGAAGGCATGGTCATGACTGTTTTATCTGCTGACTGATTCTGAGTCCCCCTCTTGGGGCTCCTTAGCCTTTCCTCTCCTCAAACTCTTCCTTTTGATCTACGCAAGGGGAAATGGTCAAAAGGGGCACTGTTTATCTTCTTGCACCTACCCCCTGCCCCTCGGGGTTGGGGTAGTAGACACAGAACCTCGTCTTTTACCTGTATAATTACCCAGGGCTCCAGGCTCCCTTCCAGTCCCCCACCTTTCCAGCCCAATTTTGGCTCTTCTCCTGGGGTCACCGCTGCACTCGGACATGGCTACAGAATACCAGGGCCTGTCTCCCAGCTTACATTTCACTGTAACAATTAAAGAGAAAGATTGCAACCTACTCTGGCTTCCAAAGTGTCTTCCTTTTTTTTCTCCTTCTTGGTGATCAGTGTGGTTGTGTCTCAGAATTTCTTCCAGGTAAGTGGGAAGGTGGTATATTTGGAACATCACTTCTGGATTGGGAGCAGGAGATGGTTGGTGCCAGGGCCAGCCAAGGATACACATGTCTCAAAACAAAACAAAAACAAACCCATAAGTTAATAGATAAGTAACTAAGTAAACAAGAGGGCTGGGAGATGATTTAGCATCTTCTGGAGGACCTGAGTTTGATTCCCAGAACCCATCTGGTGACTCCTGTCCCAGGGAATCTGCATTCTCTTCTGGTCTCCTGGGGCACCAGGCACACGTGTGGTGCACAGCCGTACACACAGACAGTACACCTACACGCATAAACACTGAAAGAATTTTGAAAAGTAAAATGGATCCACACATAGTGGTGCATACCTTTAATACCAACACTTGAGAAGCTGAAGCAGGGGGATCACCAAGAGTTTGTAGCCAGCCTGATCTACATAACAAGTTTTAGGTCATGCATGGGGACTACTTAGTGATTCGTTGCCTTTTAAAAAAAAGTAAAAAAAAAAAAAAAAAAAAAGCAAAAAGACAGGCGGAAAAGAATTAGTAGGGGCAGTGAGCAAAGGAATCTCAGCGTTACCATAGGCCAAGAGCATCAGTTTCTTGTCAACAGAGACCCCATAGGCCTTTGCTGCAGTGGTCCAGAGATGGGAAATATCATTGGGGTTCTGCTGGCTGGTGCTACAGGTCTGACAGGATAAGCTTCTGGGGAAAATTCCCGGATATGATGATGTGCCTGAATGTGGGGAGGAAGGCACCAAGACTGACTTGATTGAACAGGATGGCCAAACCGTAGTCTTCAATTGGTTTTTGCAGAGTAAGTGAACGCAGCTAGCCCAGCCTCCTGACACCTCCCCTCACCAGAAGCAAACCGAGGTAGGGTCTTCTCAGCATCAGCATAGCCTCTAAGCTCGCCCGCCATTCCTGTAGGGGGTGCTGTGGAGACATAGCTGTGGCCAAGCACGCCTGTGCGTCATCGGACAGGGGGCCGGGCCTCCGGAATCCGGAAGCTGGGGACTCACGTGGGAGTCTGGGAGGCGACTGTCTTGGCTTGGGTGTCAAGTTGTGGACAATCTTTGAGTGGGGAACTCGGGACTGTTTGTCCTATGTGAGGGGACGAGGTGTGGGAGGGAGGTCAACGAATCCTCTGTATCCGTCTGTTAGTGGAGTCCCGGGCGCAGTTGGAGCTATGCGACTGCTCTGGACCGTCGGGTGCTTCGGTCGCCTGACTGCCCGTCATTTCTCCCCGGTGGCGCGGCCTGGCGGGGAGGAACTGAGCCGCCTGCTGCTGGATGATCTGCCGCCGACCCAGCGGCTGGAACGTCTGTTCGGCCTGTTCCCGTGCCTCTTGGCCTTGCGGGCCTCCCGCCGGCGCGTGGCCCGGCTCCTGCTCCAGGCCGGTAAGGCTGGACTGCAGGGGGAGCGGGCCGAGCTGCTCCGGGTGGCCGAGGCGCGGGGCATCCCTGTCCTGAGGCCCAGGCGGCAGAAACTAGACGCCTTGTGCGGCCACCATGTGCACCAGGGCGTCTGCATGGATGTGAGCCCGCTGCGGCCCCGGCTCTGTGATGAGGCGGCAGAGGCGAACCCAGGCGACGACCCTCAGCAGCTGTGGCTCGTCCTTGAGGGGCTCCAGGATCCCCGGAATCTTGGGGCTGTGCTGCGCTCCGCTCACTTCCTCGGAGTAGACAGAGTCATCATCAGCCGGAGAAACAGGCACGGATGTTTCTTAGTTGCGTTTGCGCCCAACCTGGAGGCGGAGCCAAGTTCCTAAGCACCTTGGGGCGGGGGGAGCCCGAGGGTGTGGAGGGCGCGGGGCTTGAGATTGCCGGTGTTTAACGCAGATCGTGGGGAACCTTTGCAGCTGCCCGCTTACTCCAGTAGTCAGCAAGGCCAGCGCTGGGGCTGTGGAGGTGATGGACGTGTTCGCCACTTCTGACCTGGCCGGTTTTTTGAAGGTAATGCGGGAAGAGAGGGGAAGGAGAGGTGATGAGTCTAATTCAGGCTCTTAAAGCCACTTCCAGCTAGAAGTGAATGGGCGGAGGGCGGCGGAGGGGGAGGTCCGTGGTGGCCTCCTACCCTGCGGTCTCCTAAATCCTACTGGAAAGGACCCCGGGGTCTTTAAAATCACAAATGGAGCATCGTCTGAAGTTAGGGATTTTCTCGCCTCATTTCCTTTACTGCACGCCTTGGCCATCTATATCACCAAGTCACTGTCTGACACCTTTGGGTCTTCAGCGATGCTCTGCGGAGCTGGTGGACAGGAGCGGTGGGTACTTGGACTAGAAGCTCAACTTGAGGGCAATTTTGAACAAGGCTCTGCTAGGGGCAAGCTCTAGCGTTCTGCTGTGTTTTCCTGGATAAACACCAGGGGGCAGCATTATCTCTCATTTGGCAGTCCCTCTGACTTCCATCCGTCCTGGCCCCGCCCACCCTGCGGTAAGACTATAACCTTGGTAAAAGGGGGAAGAAAGCTGCCTAATAAACTTATATTCAAGTCATGTGTCTAACTTTAGATTTTTCTAGTAACCACCCTGAAAAGTAAAAAAGAGCCAGGTGTCTGTAATTTGAGCTCTTGGAGGTGGAGACAGGAAGGCCATCCTGGGCTACATGAAACTCAATCTCAAAAAACAAAACAGTAACAACATCAAAAAACCAGAACAGAAAAAAGAAACATAATTTTACTCAATTTACCCAAAATGTCGTTAAAACATACACTTTAAATATTATTAATGAAAAAAAATTGAGACAGGGTCTTGTGTAGCCCAGGCTGGCCTCACATCCACAGAAATCCTCCTGCCTCAGCCTCCTTACAGGTGTATGCCAACATGTCCAGATTTAAGCCCATTATAAAATGTATACATAATACATCTCAATTTGGATTAGCCGTATTTCAGTCCTTAATAGTCACATGTACAAGGGCTTAACTGTCCAAAGCACTGCTAATGTGACTTAACAGCTAAGAGCACAGGCTGCACTCCTAGAGGACCCAGGACCCAGGTTTGGTACCGTCTGTTCTCCTAGGGTCTACCCACTCACTAGCTGCCTAGAGTTGGTCTGGGACCAGCCCACTCTCCTTGTGCTGGGTAGGTAGGCTATACCTGCTTTTATGTTCAACCCAGAGATCACCTTTGACTTCTTGTCCTCACAGCTACGTCCCCCATGTCCCCAAATCTTTTTGCCTTTTTCTTAACATTATTGTTACACCATCCCAATTTCTCATCCTTTCTAATGCTGCCCTAATCTGAGTTCTCATCTCCCCAGTACGTGGTCTCAGTGTGGCATGCACAGTGATTCTGCTGACACACGCATCATACAGGGTCACTTCTTTGTCCACAGCCCCAGGTCCAGTGGCACCTACTTGTAGCCTCAGTGCTTGAGAGACTTAGACTGGAAGATCACCATGGGTTCAAGGCCAGCCTGTGGTTCTTAGTGAGCTCATGTCTGAAAAGCCAAAACAAAATAAAATCTTTCAAAGCTTTGATGTCAGAATAAAAGCCCTGTGCTTCCAGTGGCCCTTGATGCCGTACTCTGCGGCCATTGTTTTCGCCTCTTTGACGACTTTCTCTCTGGCCAGCTTAGCATTCCTCAGCTATGACAGGTAGGCCAGCAGGGCCTATGTGTCTCCATACTTGCAAGTCTCCCTGCCCACAACCTTCCCTGACTGCCTGTGAGATACTCATTAGTTATCTTCAGATCTGCTCTCTGCCATTACTAGAGGACAACTCCACAGTCACCCTGCTGCATAGCTGCGATTTTGGTCTGTTGTGTTCTTGGCTCCATCCTCAGCGCCCAGAGCAGATGGTGGCCAGCTAAAGGACCTGACTGACCCTAAGTGGAAGGCACCTCTCAGGGAATGTGTGTGTGTGCAAGGCTGGGCTCATTGGCCGTGGCTTGGTGATGGTTTGGTAAACCAGGACATGGTGTTTTCTTCCTTCTTTCAGACCAAGGCCCAGCAGGGCTGGCTCGTGGTGGGCACAGTGGGCTGCCCAGGTCCCGAAATCTCCCATTCCTCCAAGGTCCCCATCACTAGCTGCCTAGAGTTCGTCTGGGACCGGCCTACTCTCCTTGTGCTGGGTAGGTAGGCTATGCCTGCTTTTATGCTCTCATATATGTGCTTTCTAAGCATGTGGACATCAAGTTGGGGCCCCCTAACCCTGTCCCATGTCCTGCAGGCAATGAGGGCTCTGGTCTGTCCCAGGAGGGTCTTGCCTCCTGCCAGCTGCTGCTTACTGTTCTGCCCAGGCGTCACTTGCCTCCCGGTCTTGAGTCCTTGAATGTGTCTGTGGCCACAGGTGAGTCTACACCTCCCCTCAGTGGGGTGGCTTCTGTTTCCTCGTTCCCTCTGTGCCCCACTTGCTGAATGTCCAAAACAAGAGTGTGCCCTGTGTGCATCCTGATCCTCTCCGTTTCCCCCTTGCCTTTAGGGATTCTTCTACACTCCATTTGCAGCCAGAAGAAGAGTTTCCCTGTGCAGACAGAGAAAGGACAACTTCTCCAAGACACTTGAGAACCCTTAGCTACGCCTGAAGGACTCAGAAAGGCCCAGTACCCAGGACTGCCATGGTGGTTGGAAAAACAGGCCAAATGTGGGCCGGCACAGACTGAGATGCACGTGTGTGGGAATCGGAAGGAGCTGCAGATTGATCCTCAGGCTTGAATGTTGCTGGGCTCTCTGCCTGTGTGAGCCTGTTTGCTGGCTACAGTCAGGAGATGCTTGCCGTGGAGACTGGGAGGCAGAGTCATTTCCATTTGGAAAAGGATAGTTTGCTAATTTCCAGGATGGGTTAATACAGACGGTTATCTGTTCTGGATCCTGCCTAGGAGTCAGTGGGCTGTCTTGGCATGAGAAAGAACCAGGCTGTCCAGTGCAGAGTGTGTGGAATGAAAGTGAGGATGTAGAGGGAAGATGAGTGGCAGGCCCACATCTGCACCCCTCTGGGTGATGAGGGTCTCATCCAGCGAGCGCCCTACAGCTGAGCTGTCCTGCCCTGTCTATCCGTTAGGTGGCAGTCTTGCTCTTTGCACCATAGTTTTGCAGCTGCTTGCAGGGAGACCCCCTCTCTGCAGCCCAATTAGACATAGCCCCAGCACACACACCCTGGTCAGTCCAGCCCAGTGGAAGGAACCTGTGACCCAGAGCCCTTGCCTTTGAGTCTGAGAGGTTGTGAGGTCTGATAGGCTTGGTCCCCTCCTCCAGGGTCCCACACTGGAACAGAAGTGATATTACCAAACAGTGGCCTCACTCTGGGTAGCACATTGGAACACCTAACAAACATTAAAGAAGCAAGCCCAAGACAGCCACCTCTGTGTGGTACTGAGAGGGGTTGCTCAGTACCCTGGGCAGTGGGATTTTTTTTTCCCCTTTTTGAGTCAGAGTTTTATGTAATATGTACCTAGAGTGTCCTAAAACTTGTCATTTAGCTGAAGATTACCTTGAACTTTTGATCCTCCTGCTCCCACGTCCCAAGGGCAAGAATTCAAGACATCGCCCACTATGCCCGATTTATATGTTGCTGGGGCTAGATCCAGGGCTTTGTGCAAGCTAGGCAAGCACTTTACCTCCTGAGCTCCATCTGAACCCTAGGCTGGATAACCCTTTGCTGCAGGAACTGTCCTGAGCGTGATGAGATGTGCCCACCAGATGCCAGGAGGTCTGTATGCCATCTCCACCCAAACTGTCCCCACACATGGCCCGATCATGGCTGCCTGACAACTCTGAGTGTGGGTGGGGGACGAGAGCTCCTGAACTGTTATCCTGGTTGCTGTGAGACTTGTGAAAAGTTACCTCCACACTTTCTTTCTTTTTTTTTTTTTTTTTTTTTTTTTGCGAGACAGGGTTTCCCTGTGGCTTTGGAGGCTGTCCTGGAACTCGCTCTGTAGACCAGGCTGGTCTCGAACTCACAGTGATCCGCCTGCCTCTGCCTCCCGAGTGCTGGGATTAAAGGCGTGCACCACCAACGCCCGGCCTCTTTGTTTTTTGTTTTCGAGACAGGGTTTCTCTGTATTGTTTTGGAGGCTGTCCTGGAACTAGCTCTGTAGACCAGGCTGGCCTTGAACTCACTGAGATCCGACTGCCTCTGCCTCCCGAGTGCTGGGATTAAAGGCGTGCACCACCAACGCCCGGCCAAATATAGATTTTTTTTTTTTTTGGTTTTTCAAGACAGGGTTTCTCTGTATTGTTTTGGAGGCTGTCCTGGAACTCACTCTGTAGCCCAGGCTGGCCTCGAACTCACAGAGATCCGCCTGCCTCTGCCTCCCGAGTGCTGGGATTAAAGGCGTGCGCCACCAACGCCCGGCTCAAATATAGATTTTTAACATTGCCTGTGCCTTGGAGCAGTGGGGTAGGGAAGGGGGTGTCTGTTAATGATGAGAAACACCAGGTCAGTTAAATAACAGTCTCCGGGAGGGAACCAGATGTTCCTCTTGCCTTCTTTGCTTCTTCCTTTCCCTTGCATGCGTGTGTGTGTGTGTGTGTGTGTGTGTGTGTGTGTGTGTGTGTGTGTGTACATGTGCACGACAGCACACATGTGGAGAACAGAGGATAACTTGCTGGATGGAGTCAGTTCGTTCCTTCTACCACATGGACAAGTGCCCTTACCCACTGAGCCACCCGACCTGCCCCACTTCTTTTCTCTTCTGGGGATTGACGCCAGGACCTTGCTCTTACTAGGCGAACACTGCCCCTGAGCTATATTAGCAACCCTCTTTAGTTTTTACTTTTGAAATAGGTTCCTGGCTGGCCTTGAATTCATCCTCTAGTCCAGGTAGGCCTTGAACTTGTAATCCCCCTTTCTTAGGCTCCTGAGCATCTAGGATTACTAGCTTAAGTTGCCAGGCCCAATTCATTCCTGTCTTGCTTGCTTTCTTTGAAGATTATTATTATTATTATTATTATTTTTTTTGGTTTTTCGAGACAGGGTTTCTCTGTGGCTTTGGAGGCTGTCCTGGAACTCGATTGGTAGTCCAGGCTGGTCTCGAACTCACAGAGATCCGCCTGCCTCTGCCTCCCGAGTGCTGGGATTAAAGGCGTGCGCCACCAACGCCCGGCTTGAAGATTATTTTTTAGCTGTGTATTTTGTTTATTGGCTCGTGTGTGTGTGTGTGTGTGTGTGTGTGTGTGTGTGTGTGTGTGCGCTGTGTACAATGGGTCAGTATTTCTTAAAGGTCCCCAGTTCGTGTCATGCCACTGGTTCAAGAATTCCTGGCTTGCTAGGCATGGTGGTGCATACCTGTAATTGCAACATTCAGGAGGCGGAGGCAGCAGAGAGTTAATGAGCTTGAGACTAGCCTTTTTTGCGTAGCAGATATCAAATTAGCCAGGGCTATGTAGCAATACCCTGTAAAAATAAATTAAATAAATAAACAAACAAAAGCATTTATCCCCTCGTCCTTGATGGTGCTTAGTGGCTCTCAGGCTGGTCCAATGTTTGACATACCATTATAGGCTTACCTTCAGTCCAACCGCTAAGGAAATTAAGCTGTCCTGCACCCCTGGCACTAGGCCTGTCTACACTAAAAAGGTTGGGAAAGCACCAAGATCCCTAGGTTCTGTGCGCCCAGGCAGACTTCAAGGCATTCCTGCTGTGAGAACTAATGTCCTTAAGAGATTGTCTATAACTGCTGGTTCCTTTTTTTTTTTTTTTTTTTTTTTTTTTTGTCAGCTTGACACTAGCTAGAGTGATCTTGGAAGAAAGACATCAATTGAGAAAATGCCTCCATCACATCGGCCTGTAGGCAAGTCAGTGGGCATTTGCCTGACGAATAATTGATGTGGGAGGGCCCAGCCCATTTGTAGGTGGTGCCACCCCTGGGCAGGTGGGTGGTCCTAGGGTGTATAAGAAAGCAAACTGGGCTGGAGAAATAGTTCATCAGCTAAGCACACTGGCAGCTCACAACCATCTGTAACTCCAGTCTTAGGGGAGCTGGCACCAGGCACCCACATGGAGCATAGACACACATGTAGGCAAAAACACTTGCACAAAGAAGAATAAAAGTAAATCTTGAAAACTTCCAGGCCTCAGTTTTTATGGTCTATAGGATGCAGATGCGAGAGTACGCAAGGAAAGGCCGCCACCCACACCTGGAGGTCACTTGCTGTTTGTCCCCTAGTGCACCCAAGATCGGCCTGGAGGTCAGGGCACTAGGATGTGCTTCTCTTATTCTGGCCTCAGTTTCCCCAGAGGTTCTAGACCCCCCATTCAACTGCAACAAAATGATTTTCCTTAGGATACTGGGAGGAGTTGCGGGAAGGTTAGGGTTGGAAGAACATTTTTAGAATTCCCTTTTGGCCAGACCCCTCCCGGTTCTCCCTCCATCCTGGCTAAGATGTGAATGTCTCAGGAGGGTTGGGAACTAATTTGGAATTTTCCCAATAGCTGAACCCCAAACATATATTCCAGTCTGGATGGCCAGTGAGGTGTGTAGAGAGAGTGGAATCTCTCTCTCTATCTATCTATCTATCTATCTATCTATCTATCTATCTATCTATCTATCTATAGAGGGGCTACATTGTCAAGCTTTCCCCAAGCCTGGGTCCCTAAACTAGATCTCTCTACTTGCTCCTGCAGGGCCAAGCGCCAGGGATCCCCACGGTTTGTAAATGTAATCAACCTTGAGGTCTCTCACTTCCACAGGTGCAATTAGCATGCCCATCTGCTAATCCCTGATTAATGATATTTACAAACAGGGACTCTGACCAGAGCATCTCAGCCCCTCCTTCCTCCAGCTGGGAGGTGTGGGGAGCGTCGTCTCAGCAGCCCCCTCCCTTCTGCAGACCTCCCTATCCTCTCCCTCCTCCAGGCAGTGGGCAGAGCTGTACCCTAACACCCATGCTCACTACACACCTGGGTCAGACAGGAAGCCTTAATGGTGGGGCAGGAATCCTGACCACCCTTTATTCATCCCCCTCTGGAATTTCAAGGACACATGGTGGCCATGCTGCCTTTATCTCCCACCCCAGCTCTGCCTCCCTGTGTGGCGTCTTTGGTGGGTACATGTCAGGAGCACTGTACCAAAAGCACAGAGAACAAATGCTTTTGCACTGGGATTTCATTCATTTTATTTAGCCAAGGTCTCATGCAGCCTCAAACTCACTATGTAGTAGTCAAGGCTGGCTTTGAACTCCTGGATTCTTCAGCCTCCATCTCTGAAGTACTTAGATCATAGGTTATCTGATGCTGGATAGTGCATCTTAGGCTACCATCAAAGCTATATCTTCAGCACTGGCCTCAAACTCACGGACTCCCCTGCCAAAGCCTCCTGAGTGCTGGTATTATAGGCATGTACCACCACACACCACCCTGTGAATACAGATTCCAGACAGTTCCATGTTGTTGGTCCTGATGTTGGCTTTGCTTTTGCTAAGTTGCTTCTTCTATAAAATAGAGGCAAGATGGTGCTTATTATATAGGTTTTAGCTATATAGGTTAGAGGGGAGGATTCATGGATATATGAAAGCGACTTAGCACAGTGTACAGAAAATAGTAGATGCCCAATATGCGTGAGCTTTGCACTGCAATGAAAATATCAATGATGATGATGATGATGAAAGGGGCCTTCTGAACCTAGAAGATGCCCGAGGACCCCTCCTTCTCTCCTCACCCCCTCTCTGGGGAGAAGGGCAGGTCCCAGCTCATTACATGTGGGGGCTGGGGTGGAGGTGTCAGATTGGAATCATTCCTGGGTGTGTTCGCAGCTTCCCTGTTTCATTAACACCTCCCCGGTGGTCTTAGGCTCATCCTGCTGGGGGAAGCACTCCAGAAAGTTCTGACCACCTCCCACCCAGCCTGAGCTCGGTGGTCCTCACTTAAAG